CCCCCCCCCCCCCGGTCTCACACTCCCTGCTGGAGCCACCCCAGGCGGCCCAAGGGGGCAGGAACCCTCCCGCCAAGCCCACAGGAGCCGGGGGGGGAGGGGGGGGCTGCCTCCGGTCAGGATTCCTTGCTGATTCTTTCTGGAAACAGAGCCAAATGACCGAAGGGCACAACAGGGCAAAGTGGGGGGGACCCCACTCGTCACAGAGTTTGCACTCTGGTTACCCAAAGTTCAACCAAGCACAAAGGCAGATTAGCGCCACGTAGTGCCACGAGCTGCAATCTGCCTCGAGGCTCAACCAAGGTCCATATATTTCACTCGGCAATTATACGAAACCGATTTTCAAATTGCTCCTGGGATTGTTTCAGTGTAATTACAGGCTCCCGAATACGACGCACATTCTTCACAATAAGTGCCTCGCTCTGGAAAAGCAGAACCTGCAGATTCTTCAGACCTGACCTTGCAAAGGCCTCCCTTCCACTGCCCCCCGCCCCCCCAGGACACCCCCTCACAAAGCTGCCCAGGGGGAGGGTGCCTTCCTTGTCCTGCTGCGTGCCCAGGCTGCCCAGCCCTGCAGGAAAGGGGCGCAGGGGAAAGCGCCCAACTTCCTGGCTTCCCTTGAGCTGAGACCCTCTCAGCGCCTTCCGGGGGTCTCCAGGGGAAGAGAGTCACGGCCCTTCTAGACCTCCTCACGGGGCTTCCCAGCCCTCTAAGCGGTTTGTAGAGTCAGCATATTTGCCCCCGACCACCTGGGCCCCCCTTTTACCGTCCTGGGAAGGAGAGAAGCTGCGTCGACCTGGAGCTGGCCAGGATCGAACTGCCGGCTATGGGAATGAAGAGCTTCTCCTGCAATGCTGCCCGCTGACCCCTGAGCAGAGGAACTGCAGAGGGGGCCCAGGCCTGGCCCAGTGAGCAAGTCCCCCTGCAGGAGTCTGGCTACGCCGTTCGGGATCCGGCCGTGCCGCTGCAGCTAGAAAGGGTCCCCAGCACAAGGGGGTTTGGGGGGAGCTGCAGGAGAAACCCACCTCCTCTTCCTCCTCCTCCTCCTCCTCTTCCTCCAGCGAGTTCATCTGCTTCAGCTTCTTGGTCCAGTACTTGGCTTCTTCCTCAGGAATGTCTGCGGAGGAGCCAAGAGGCACCAACCTTGAAGGCCAGGCAGGCCCACCCGGCAGCCCCGCCAGCTCCCGCCCTCCCACCACAGCCAAGCCCACGTCTGATCCGCCTGGGCATCCGGGTCCGAGGCTGTCGGAGGCAAGTGGCTGCAGACCTCCTGGGCCTCTTCCCTGAGGCCTGGTCCCCTCGGACAGGCGGGGTGGGGAGGGGGTCAGTCTCGAGGGGCTTCCCTTCCAGGGTGGAGACCCCTCCCTCTCATCCCCACTGGGTCTCTTCTGGCACCAGAGACGACCCTCCTCCTGGGCAAGCCAGCCAGGCCTCTTAAGGGGGGGGGTCACACTCCCCTCGGCCAGAACCTTCCACGGCTTTTAATCTCCATTTCCTCCTTTCAGGACCGTATCTGGGGGGCCTGTGGAGTTTCTCCCCTTCTCCCTTTGCCCTGAAGGGACCCTCCCCGGTTAGCAGAGGGGCCTTTGCCTTGGGGTTCACTCCGGCCCACGGAGGGAAACTGGGCTGCACGTTTGAAGTAAAAGTCCCTCGTGTTGCCTTGGGAACTGCGCTTTGAGAAACTAACAGATGTAAATAGACAAGCAGCGTAGACATTTCTCTCTCTCTCTCTTCTCTTCTCTCTCACACACACGCAGAGGCTCCGATGGATTTCTTGCCCCCCCCCCAAAGGTTGGGCTGCCCCTCCCAAGTCTCCCCGTGAGCAGCCGCTTCCCTCCTCCGGGAGCCCCGGGCATCAATCCCACCCCCCACCTGGCAGGCCCCTTCTTCCGCTTCCCACGTCCCTACTCGGGCCGGGGAAAGGAAGGAAGGAAGGAAGGAAGGAGGGCCCCCCCCGTCCCCCCCCCCCACAAGCAGAGGCCCCTGCAATTATTTCCCTGACAGTATTTCCAGTCATGAGAATGGAGTCGCTGCAGGGAACGTGGAGCTCCGAAACCAGCCGGTCCACCCTTTGGACTGGGATAAAGGACAGAACTAGGAACGGCAGGGCCAAGCAGGGCCCTCCGGGGCAGGCAAACCCCAGATTCAGGGGCCTCGCCTTTCACGCTAACAACTTCCCTCCGCATCAAAGTTTCCTAGCCAAAGTTTGGCAGAGCACAGAATCGGCCTGCCAAGGATCTTGGAGATCATCTAGCCCAACCCCTGCCTAGTGAAGGAAACCGCTGCTCCAGCATCCTAGCCAGTAGCCACCCAGCTTTGCTCAAACCCGTCTAATGAAGGAGAGTCCCTTCCACGGCTGAACGGCTCTTCCTGTGGGGAAACTGGCCCAAAACCCCCCACCCAGGCCAGCCTTCTTGTGCTTTGAACCCTGGACTCTGCCCCCCCCATGGACGAAACAGCCCCTTGAGATACTCAACAGCAGTTCTGGCGTCTTCTCTGGGCTCAACTTACCCAACGGGTACAAAACGTGGTTTTAAATTTAATGGTTTATTAACAATGTTTAACAGCTGCTGTGGTTTGTATTACGATTTTTGTGGCTTATTTTTACTTTCGCATACTGTAAGCCACTTCCATCCCCTCCCACAGGCTGCCACGAGAGGAGGGGGGTGGTCTAGCTGTCCTCCAAAGCACCAGAAAGCAGGACAGGAAACAATGGGTGGAAACTGAACGAGAGAAGCAACCTGGAGCTAAGGAGACGTTTCCGGTGAGGACAATTAACCAGTGGAACTGCTTGCCACCGGAAATGGTGGGTGCTCCAACCCTGGGAATGTTTAAGAAGAAACCTGGCAGTCCCTTACCTGAAAGAGTCTATAGGGTCTCCGGCTTGAGCAGGGGGCTGGACTAGAAGACCTCCAAGGCCCCTTCTCAGCAATATTCTGACTGACCGATGGCAGGGTTTGGCGTGGCTGCCTCACCCAAGCCAGCCTGCTGACTTCTGCCCGTTCTTCCAGCTTGCCAAGGGCCTCCGGCATTCTGAAGGGGCCCCTTCGTGGTTTTTGCCTCTTTGTGGCTCTGAGCAAGTTCCTCACCTGCAGGGCCCCGAATTCAAAGCGGGGCTGGGGGGCCCAGGGCCTGCAAGGCGGCAGAGTTTGCCCCACCTCCCCAAGGCCTCCAGGCAAAGAAGCCGGGCAGGGCAGGGCAGGGGAGGGATCTCCTCCGTGGAGGTTTTGCTAAGGTCAAGATCCAGGCCGCCCTCCCCCTGGAGCAGGAGGTCGGCTCGGTTAACCACCCGGCCGGCCCTGGATCCTCCCAAATCAAGGGCCTCGTGATCCACCCAGAGGTTTGGCCTGGCTCCTGACTGCTGGCCATACAAAACAGTGGGGCCCCTCCCAGCCTCTGGCACCCTACGAACTGGGGGAGGGGGCCCCTCCTTGGAGACCGGAGACTTCCACTCCTTCCTGCCCTCTCTCGTTCCCGGGTCCCTTCTGGGGGTGGGGCTCTCGGGGGGAGAAGACACAGGGAGGGAAGGAGACGCCCCGCGCTTGGCCCTCCCCTTCCTCCTCCTCCTTGCCGCAGATGCCCCCCCTCCCTTTCATTAACCTCCCGTCTTACCACAAGGCAACTCTGGGGGGGCTCACGTTACAGGATAAAATAGGACAAAACCTACGCACGATGCAAGTTACATAGCATAACCAGATAAACAGACTTTTTTCTGGCCCGGGACTCCTTTCCCCCCTTGCTCTTCTCTTCCCTCGGGAGGGAGCGTCCGCTCGCCTCTTCCTCCTCCTCCTCCAAATATTTCCCATTTGCTGCGCCCCCCCCTCCTTTCATCCCACCCACCTTCAATTCTTGGGCGTGTTTCACCCACATTTCCTAGGCCCCCACTTTCTTCCCACGGGGCGGGGGGGGGGGGGGGGGGGGCGGACTTCCGGCGTCTTATTCTTGAGGAGTTTCCGGCTGTTCCTTCCATCCTTCACCTGCAGCAGTTTTGCCCCTGGGATCCGGCTAAATTTGCTGAAAGTGGCTCTCCTGACGCCTCTCGTGTGTGTGTGTGATTATGATTCAGTGTTTTATTCCCTAATTTTCTGAACTTCACTTTTTTTCCCAAAAGGCAACTGGACTTTTTTTTTTCCTTTGACGAGGTTTCTCTTCTCACCCACGGAGCTTCTTCCGTTCTAACTGACTGGTGGGCAGAGGGAAGATTTACAGTCTTTATTGTCACCTGGTCCTTGGCGCTCTGGCCTGGCTGACTGAGGCTCTCCATAGACCTTTAAGCCTCCAGGTGACTGAGTTCTGTCCTCCCGAAGTCCCCACTTTCTTCTTATTGCCTTCAACCAACCCCCCCCCCCATATACACACACACACACACAGTTAGGGCCAGAGTGGGGGGGGGGAGCCGACGCCCCTCCTTCCTTCAGCCTTTGGGAAAGGGAAGCCTGGGACGCAGCCAAAGGAAAGGATCTGCAGGGGCTGTGAAGCTCCTGCTGACAGCTGTCCGTCATGGCTCTCCCACGGGAACGGAGTCCTAGCAAGGAACCTGCCGTTAAACGCCCCCCCCGCCCCCCCATAACCCAGGGGTTGGAGGGGCGCACTCACCGAAAGGCAACTCGAACCGGGTGTCCAGCAAAATCTTGTGCGGTGTTGGGTTTTTGGTGCCGCAGACCTCCTGGCCATTCATCAGGACCTCCGCCTCCAGGGTGGACCACTCCCCGGGACCCTCCTGAAGGGAGGAGGGAAAGGCTGGCCTGAGAGGTGCTCCCTGGGCGGGGGCTGAAGGCCCCGAGAAGGCCGAATCTCCTGGGGGAACCAAGGGGACCAGGGAAGGCCCTCGGCCTGGGTGTCCCCCGCCCAACTCCAGAGCTGGGAGGAGACCCCCCCCCAGGCCTTCTACGGCCTCCCCCGTCCACTAGAATTCCCCAGGGCCACTTCAAACGGCTTGGCAAAAGATCTACGATGCGGTCACGGTCGTCCCACGGGTGGTTTCCCCAAAAGGCAACTGGGCTTTTGTGCTTTTTTTTTTTTTCCCCCTTTGAAAACGTTTCACTTCTCATCCAAGAAGCTTCTTCAATTCTGACCGACCGAAAAAAACGGAACTGGCTGCTTCTATTCCCTGCCAGGCAGTCAGAACCGAAGAAGCCTCTTGGGTGGGAAGGGAAACTTTTTCAGAGAAAATCAGAAACCAGAAAGCCCCGTTGCCCTTTGCAGAAAGCGTCTTTGGGACCGGCCCCCGTGAAGAAGGGTTGAGGAAGGGGCGCCCCCCCGCCCTCCCCCGCATTCCCCGGGGGCATCTCTCTGCCCAAAAGGGGGGTGTGGGAGAAAAGAGCCGGCAAGCCCCCCCACAGGGGCATCTCACAGGACCCAAACCTGGAGCGGCTGGGAAAGGCCGGATTTAGCCAAATCTGGGGAGGGGAGGGGGGGGAGGGAGGGAAGGGGGCTGTTTCAGTCAAATAGAGGCAGTCCTCGACTTACAAGAGTTCCCTTAGTGACTGTTCTAAGTTCCAACAGCACTGAAAAAAGGGACTCGGATGTTTCCCCCTTATGGCGGTTGCAGAACCCCCACAGCCGCCTGATCACAATTGAGAGGCTTGGCAACTGACTCGTACTTAGGGCCGCTGCTGAGTCCCCCTTTTGCGACCTTCCGACAAGCGGAGTCAGAAAGGCCTCGGGGTCCGGTTCAAGGGCTAAAGTCCCAGGGAAGAAAACGGCCAACGGTTCCTGCAGCTGCAGGGCCCAGAGCCTCCCTCCGGGTTCCCATTCTCCTCTCTTGGGCTAAGCCCTCCTCGGTCCTCCGGCTGCGGCTGAGCCCCCCCCGCCCCCCCCGAGCTCTTCAAGCGCCGGTCGGGACGGCAGCAGCTCCCTGCGGAAGATCCCCTCCCCAGGCAGGCCTCAGCAGCGGTTCCGACAAGGCGGGCGCCCTACGAGGTCCCCTCCCTGGGAGGTGCCAGGGTAAGGGCCCTGGTGGCTCAGGGTTCAGGGCCGCAGGCGAACTCTGCATCCCCACCGCCAGCAGTTTGACCCTGACCGGCTCCGGGTCGACTCAGCCTTATGCCCTTCCAAGGTTTGTCCAATGAGGACCACAAATTGTTGGGGGCAACAGGCGGACTCTGCCAACCGCTTGGAGAGGGCTGGGAAGCGGCATAGAAGCCTCGGGGCTACGGCTCTTATTCCCCCGCCCCGAATACTTCCAAATAGGTGGCCTTATCTTTGCCTCGGAGTGGAGGAGGAACTGCCTTGTCTTGACCCCCAGAGCGTCGTCCGTGGACAGGGGCCATCGGGGCAGGAACTTCCGTTCTTCCCAGGGTCACTAAGCGAGGCAACTTCCTGACATTTCCCCACAACCAAGTCAGAGGGCAACAGGCATGTCGGTGGCTCCTTTCGGTGGGGGGAGGGCGGGTGCAACGAGGGAGGCGCAGTGAGGCTGGGGGAGGGGGGGCGATGTGCGAGGTCCATGGGAGCCGTGGGGGGGGTCCTTAGGACAACGTGGGGAGTGTGCCGAGTTGCAAAAGAGGCGTGGCAAGGCTGCACGGGGGAGGGCACGGGGGAGGGGCAGGATTTTGTGTGGGAGCCGTGGGGGAGGGGGGCTGCAAGGGAGGGGCTGAGAGGCAAGTGGGGTGCACGAGGGTGCGAGGCAAGGCTCGGGGGGGGCAAGGGGGATGCGAGGGTTGGATGGGATGTGCAAGGGGTGTGCAAGGGTACGAGGGGTGTGTGCAGAGGACCAGGGTGGGGGGTGGGGGCGAGGGAGGCGCTGCAGGGCTCACGGAGAAGTCCTGGGGCTGTGACGGAAGGAGCAAAATCAGTCATAACCGCCTGCAGAACGGAAGACTAAGCCGGAGGTCCGGTGAAGCCGCCCTGCAGCCCAGAAGGGGAGGCTGGCTCCAAGGGGCTGGGCTGGGGGGGGGGGCAACTGACCTCATCCGACTGCCGGACGGTCTCCAGGGCGATCCAGGCTGTGCCCACCATGGTGTCCCAGATCAGCCCTTTGTCCCACACTTCCACAATCAGGCCCAGGTCCAGCCGGCTGATCTCGCTGCGAAGGGGAAACGGGAGGCAGGGAGGAGAGAGATCTCAGTAAATTGGGGGTGGGGGTGTGTGTGAACTCCTCACCTGGAGTCTTCCTGCCAAGGCCCCCCCAAGGCCCATTTGGCCCACGGGGCCCCCCCCTCCGGGCAGAGGTCGACTCTGGACCTGCCTCTTCGGGAAGGAAACCCCGGCTGGGCCCAATGAAGGGGAAGAGCCGACCCTGTACTGGCGCTGCTTGGCCACTAGAGGGCGCTCTAGACCCAGAAATCCAAGGCCTCCTCCAGGGAAAAGCCCAGGGTGGGGTTCGCCTCTGTGGACAAACATTCCCCCCCATGCAAGGCCCGTCGTCGTTTCAGAGTCCATCCGCTAGAATTCAGCGGCCACTCAAGTCAGTGACGTGAACTCACAAGTCAACTGGCTGCATTATAAAATGCAACGAGTTCAGATCCAGGGACAACATTTGGCCTTAGCCTGTTGCGGAGGGAAACCCCGGTTCTGGTTCCCCAGGTGTCCAGATCCAGGGCTTCTTGGTGCAGGATCAGCGGGAACCCCGCTGAGCGGATCCACTGCCAGGGAAGGCCTGGGGGCTCTGGCCAGGCCCGGGGGGGGTGGGTGGGTGGGGGGTGCTTCACTTACAAGAGGAAGTCCTGCTCCCAAGACGGCCGGGCCCCACGAACAGCAACCGTGGTGCTCTTGACATTTTGCACCTTCAGTGTTACGTAAGTGTTGAATTTATCTGGAGAGAGAGACATTTTTGTTCTTTCTTTCACGAGACACAAATATCGGGCCCCCTTTGCCAACAGAAAACTGCCCAGAATTTGACCAACGGCCCTTCAGGAGGACAAGGGTGGTTAAAATTGCGGCCGGCCTTTCCCCTTGGACCTGAACTGTCAGGAAGAGTTTGTGTGGGTTAGAATAGCAGAGTTGGAAGGGACCCTGGAGGTCTTCTAGTCAACCCCCCTGCCTTTAGGGATTGGGGAAGGCCGAGAAAGCCCCGGGGAGAGGCAGCCACCGGATCCAACAGAACCAGGCCAATTTAATCGGGTCTCCAACCTTCCCTTTGGGCAGCTGGTCTGCAGGAAGCGGATCATCCAAACCAGAGTGACCGAGAGCAGAGCTCAGAGAGCTGCCCCATGAGAGGAGAGGCCAGGATCCCCCCCGATTCCAGATCCTGCCCCTGTCAGGGAGACCCACCGGATCTAAGGGTTGTCCCAGTGGCCACCTTCAAATCTGCCCCAGGAAGGCTGAAGCCCTCGAGGGGCCACAAGCGCCAAGGAGGCCCCCTGCGCTCCCCGGCTGGCTCAGGCTGGGGGTGGGGGTGGGGGCTCCCCTGGTCAGGGAGGCTGGTCTATCAGCAGCGCCCCTGTTAGGAATAACAAGGTTACCTAACGTAGTTTGGGTAAAATAATATATATAAACTATGATAAGTGTGTGTCACTTTAAACTGCAAAGCATGTAATTCTGGGTGCGGTGTGAAACCACCATAAGAGGAAGCAAGAGAACCTGACAATTGCTGGTTTGACGGATCGATGGTTTGTTAACTGCGTGTTTTCCCTACTGCTGAGTTGCTGAAGGAAGAAAGGAGGTTTGACTTCTTCATATCTCTACTGCGAGGAGATATATTACTGGACTGATATCTGTAAGTTTACTGACCTCTTTTTCGACACTGGACTTTGCAACTGAATAATCCCCTGACGGACTGAATTAGTGAATGATACATGGACTGCTTGACTATGCCATAACCCTTACTGGAATAAACTATTTAACTAGCGCAGTGTATCTGTTTTTACTGAGTGTAAGCTACAAAAACGTTTATCTCACATATTTTTGCCTGCCTGCCTGCCTGCCTGCCTGCCGTGCAGATTCTGCTAGGGTGTATCCCTAACAGCCCCCCCCCTCCCCCCCTTGCAGGCCAACTTCCTGAATGGGATCTGCAGACCAGCCACCCGGGAGGCCACCAGGGCCTTGTGACTGACAGCCCAGGGTGCATGTCACCCCCCCGACCCAGCCGGGCACGTCTCCAGGGTGGGAGCCTTCTCCTCAAGCGCCCAGCCTGGTTTTGAGAAGACGAGCCAGGGCGGCCCTCTCTTCCATGGGCTGGAGGTCCGAGACGTTGGCACCCAGGCCCACCTGGGTCTTCCACAGCTGAGAGGCCGAGGGAAGGGTCCCAGGGCCCCTCCTCAAAGGAGCTTTAAGGAAGCCTGAGCATTCGGTCCCTGGGAGCTTTGCCCCGGGTGAAGCTCTGACTGGCTAAGCCCGTTGGCTGCCAGAGGCCTTCAGAGGAAGGGGCACGGGAAACAGGCAAGAAGGCAGAACAGGCCACGAATCCCCCCCCACCCCCCACCCCAAGGGCCTTCTGGAAGGGCCATCCCAACTGGAGGGCGGCCCCACTTCCACAGGAGGCGGTTCCCAGAGGGCCCCAAAGGGGGGCTTTGTGGGTACAGGAGGGAGCCCAGGTGGGAAGACCAGCTAACACCCCCCTCCCCCCCCCGAAAAGCCAACGTGCACCTACCTGGGGGTCCCTGGAGCTCTGCTTTCTTCACTGGGGGAAAAAGAAGAAGAAAAAGAGGAGGAGGAGAGCGGAAGGTCATTATTCCAGGCCACAACACGGCTCCTCTCGGGGGGCTGGATGTTGGGAGGGGGGAGGAAGAAACCCCCCAGCCCACCCCCCCCAGGCTATGCTCCGGACTCATCACAAAAGCCTCCTGGCGATGAGGCTCCGTCCAGGAAAAGGGGGGGGCCTAGGCCGGTCGGGAAAGGAGGGGACTTTAGGGGAACCTTAGAGACCCCGGGGGGGGGGGGGGGAATATACATTCTCTTTATAACCGCAGCTAAGAAGATCGGAAACCATTTCTTTATCATTCCTTTGCTTCTCTTTCATTGCTTTTTCTATTGCTTTTTCTGTTATTTCTCTTACCTTTCGCTTAAAATTTGTATTGTTTTTACTCTGTGGGAAAACCTCCTGAACACAAATCTCAGACCTCCGTGGGATAGAAAAACGGGGGACGGACAAACCCCAGGAACGGCTCCAGAGGGGCCTGGATGAAATTACCCTGGGATTCCAGCAGGGGGAGCTGCACCTTCCCTAACAGGCAGGATCAACATAGTGAGGTCCCAGGTGTGTCACCCAGGGTGGGATACAAAAGCAACAGAGTCGCCAAAACAGGTGAAGTCCCTTTTTAATTCCTCCAGTTTTGGCTTCAAAGCCCCGATTATCATTGACTGGGGAAAAAACTCCCCCACAAACAGTTGCGAAAAGAAATGCGGTTCAAACTCAAAATACATATAAATTATAAATAGAAAAAAAACAACACAAACTGCACTGAGGCAATTAATGAGACAAGGCAGGATAAGGGCTTGAAGGCGTCCACAGATATCGAAATACACACACTGGGAGGGAGGCAAGAACTCAGATAAGAACTGACAGACTAGAATTATTTCACGCTTTGCTTCCAGCAACTTTGCCATGCGCAGTTTGTCCTTTTAAACAGTCCTCCCAGCTGCAGCCCACGAAGGGGATCATGGCCCTTCCTCCCCCGTAGACCACGCCACCCAGGTTTCTCCCTTATCCACTCCTCCCTGCATGCCCTGGGATGAAGAGGGGGTGGGCCTGGGTCTTCCTCTGAATGCCCAGCCAGCCTGTGCCCTTCCCCACTTTCCTCCCCAACCTCCCACCCCCTGTCCTCCAAGTCAGATTCTAAGGGGGGGGGGCATGACCCCAGGTGAGGAACAGCCTTTTCTGACCAAAGGCCCCAGAAACCTCCGCCCCGCCAAAGAGCAATCCTGGTCCAGCAAGAAGGGTGGGGAAGGGCAGGAGGCAGGGGCCCCCCTGAGGCCAAGGGTCTGACCTCCTCCAGCTCCAGGGCTCGCTAGCCATCTCCCAGGCCCCTGAAAAGCCAGGAAGCCGCCTAGGAGTAAAGGAACCTCCCCCTTTCCTCGGCTAAGAAGTTTCTCTGCCAGGGGTCGCCTCTTGCCCTGGGGTGGGACCGCTGCTGTGGGGTCCGGGGGGAGGCAGCGTCCCACCCTTGCTGGCCCAGGGCACATTCAGGCCGGCAGGAGAGGCGGGGAGGGGGGTGCCTGGAGGAGAGCCAGACCCTCTGGAGAGCTCAGCTCCAGATGTGCGCCTCCCCAGCACCCTCCAGTCCCAGACAAGCCTTCCTGATCGGCTTATACCCAGAGCCCTCTAATCCCCAGCCTCCTGCTACACACACACACACACACACAGAGGGAGGAATTGGCAGACGCCAGGAGTGCATCAGGTGGCAAGCGCTGCTGCACCTGTTGTCATTCCAGGTAGGCTGGCAGGATCAATTCCCCACCCCCACCACCCCCGGGGCACAGTGGAGGGGCGGGGAGGAAGGGCGGGACCCGGGGCCTGGGAGGGGAGCTTGGCAGAGCCACCAGGGAGGAGGGGAGGAAGCCCGCCAGGGTGTCACCAGGCTGCCAGAGAGAGAAGCGCAGCCCCCTCGGGACAGAGCCTGTGAGCCGCAAAGCTCCAGGGCGCTGAAGGAAGAGGCCGGCCAGGGCACCATCGTGGCAACCGTGTCTGGCCTGGCGTGTTCGGAGGGCCCCAGCCTGGGGAAACGGAAACAGGCGGCCTGGCAACACAAGACGGCTCGTGCCAACTGCTGCTGGCGAAGGGAGGTGCCCGGGCAGAGCAGGCTGCAGCCTGGACCCTCTGCGCCCCTCAGTGCCACCTCCGGGCCTGCCCCGTCCCCATTCTCTCCACCCCACGGCTCTTCTGCCCCCTTCTCCGGGAAGGCGGGGAGGGGGGAAACGGGCACAATGAGCAGGAGGGGCTGCTGGGCACCCAATCTGTCCCATTTGCTGCCGGAAGGGAGGGAGGAAGGGAGGGAGGGAGGGAGGGAGGAAGGAAGGAAGGGAGGTGCGCAAGAGATTCTGCCTGGAGTCGGGCGGAGAATCTCCACCACACAGCCTTGCCTGCCTCCTGCCCTCAGCCAGAGCCTTGGCCACCCTGCCAGCTGCGCAGCGTCTCCTGGAGTTCGTGATGCATTTAATAAGCATTTTCTCTGGAAGAAACCATTGACCGCTCGCTTGCCCTAATGGTACAGTTAGTCCTCGACTTACAACAGTTAATTTAATGACTGTTCAAAGTTACATCATCACTGAAAAAGAGATTTATGATCCTTTTCCACACTTACAACCTTTGCAACGTCCCCTTGGTCCCCTGGTCAAAATTCAGGCGCTCAGCCATTGACTCGTACTTATGACAGCAGCTGCCATGCCCCCAGGTCACCTGATCCCCTTTTGTGACCTTCAGAGAGCCAATGTCCATGGGGAAGAAGTCTGATTCACTTAATGACCACCTTTACGAACTTACCAACAATTGTGGCTAAAAAGGTCATAAAACGGGGCAAAACTCACTTAAAGAAATGTCTCACTTAACGACAGAAATTTTGGGCTCCATTGTGGTCATCAGTCAAGGGCTGCCTGAATTCCCCCGGACCCTTGGCGAAGGTGGTCCTTCGGGTGCCGCGGGGGCAGGGTCAGAGGGGGGGCTCCCTCGATGCCCAGTTGGACCCGGAGACCCCCAGAGGAGGAAGGCAAAGAAGCCCCCTCGAGGGGGAGGGGACGACTGAACAGGGAGGGTCCCTCTCTCGGAGGGCTGGCAGGTCTCAGGCCCTTCCGGCAGGTGTCTGGCGGCTGGGGCGGTTTGGGAGTTCAGGAGAGGAAGCGCAGAGGCCATGGGCCTCAGGGGAACGGGGGGGGGGGGGG